GGAGAAATTTGATGCTCGTCACTCTTAGGGTTTAAGGGTTAGGGAAAATTAACTTGAACTCTTTTTGTCGACAATTTGATGATTGGATGCTCCGGCAAGAATAGAGAAAATTATCCCTAAAGAAGCTTTAGAAAATACAATATAAAAACCTGAATGAAAATTTAACCCTCGTTAGCGCTAATCGGTCTTCGGACAACTTGGCTCTGGAGTATAAACTGGTAACGCCGGCCGAACTATTAGGGTAGCCTGCACTAGGCATTCGGTTACAGTAAAACGCATTCAAATAGTAAAATAGTGCGATTGTGGCGGCGCGACTCGACCCAAACCTCCTTCCGCTAGCATCGCGCTTCGCTTTACTGACTGAACGCTTGGAATAGGGTCGTGCCAAAATCCTACCGGCTAGAGGTACGCCCGAGGAGCACTAGTGACGAGTTTCCCGAGTCGAGTGATCATCGGAAATTAAGCGAAAATTCCTTGATTTAACTTTCACAATGTATTCTTCATATGCAAGGTATGTGATAATGTTCATGCCTGGTTCAATCACGTCGCTTGACTATTGGAAAATCGCAAATGGTGTTACTAGAATAGTCCGCGTGTCATGAACTTCGTAATAAACCTCGCTCACCGTAGAGTCTCTGTGGCTCAGGTGTGAAGCATCGGAGCACGGAATCCGAAGGTCTGAGGTTCGATTCCTCACGGATACTCAGAATTTTTTCTTTGTCCCACGCTCGTGACAAGACGAACAACATCTTTCTCGAGTAAATAACTGTTGGTAAGACGATGCAGAGTTCAGCGAGCTTACCACAAAGCTACTGTGTCCCTCGCTCTTAAACACAGGTACACCATATTGGGAGAGACGCATAACAGACTTAGCGAATGTTGGTCTTATTTTCCTTTTTTATGTTAGATTGACGCGTGCATCTCAAGTGTACAACTTTCCAATAAACTTGTCGGAAGAGATCCAACCAGCCGCTATATTTTATGGCACGGTCGTTCCAGTTGCTGTGTTCTGGGTCGTGAAGATGCTGATTGTCAACCCATTTGTGAAGATGGAAAAGGAAATGTAAGCGTCTATTTAGCCTGTCAGCAGGATTTCATCAGTGTTGGAGCACGAGCGGCTAGGCCCGCGGAATTCAAGCGAGCGTGCGAGCGGTCTGTGAGGGGTTTGACTCAAGACATCTTGCTAAGACCCTCGTTGACCCTTCGCTGACCTCTCGCACGCTCGCATCGCGCGTTTCGAGCAGGGAAAGTACTGGATTAGAACGGATGTCTTTCGTGGCTCAGCATGTCCAACACTAGGTTGTTTTTCGATAATATTTTTGATAATATTTTGCTGGACAGTTTTCACTGAATGTTTTTCTTTTTCCTAGGGAGACAGAAGCTAATAAAACGAAACATGCAAGGCAAATGGCGGAAAAGAAGCGAGAGGCAGAGAGTAGTGTAAGTGGCGTTTTTTACTGCTGTGTTATAGAACAGTGAAACCTCGTTTTGTCCAAATTTGGCTGTCTATTTCGGAAGCAAGGATGATGCAGTGCTGAGAGCGCTTCTTGTGGCGTGGGTTCGATTCTCCAACCTGACTTCACGAACGGGTTCAGTTTGTTGTTAGTTCCAGCCCTTGCTCTGAGAGTTTTTCTCTGGTTTCTCCAGATTTCCTCCCTTCACAAAAACCAGCTGATTCCAGCTCAACTTAACACCACAAAGCGAAGAGTTGTTTCACTGAAATGCCACTGCTAAAATCTGCTTTATTTTTTTATTCAATTTCACAACTTTCTGTTTTGTTACCACATTTCAATTGTACTTCTAGCGAGGGTATTTAAAATGTCTGGAAAACAAACCGTTTACTTAATCAATTCAAATATTCTATAATTCTGAGAAGAGCTCCCGGGGCGAGAGACCCTGAAATAAATCCTGTCGAACCCAGGAAGGTGAAAACAAGAATTTTCATGAGACAAATTTGGTTATTAACAATGACATCGCATTTCTAACTTTCCTACGACTTGGTCGGAGTGTGGCTAATTAAAAACTGTGGTAACATTCTTTGAAATTAAAGAAATTTAGATAGGAATACTTGAAACGAAGAGTCATGTTCACTTCTTTTCAGATACAACTAATGCAAGAGACTTGCGAGAGAATAATTGAATATGAATCATCCCGGCACGGTAAGGAATAGAACATCATTCTTAAGTTCGCCCTTTTTTATTAACTTGGCTTTATGGTATTTGACTGATAGATGTCGCCTTTTTTTATGTGTTACAGGCTTAATAATAGTAAATGCGTGGTATGGACACTTGGTGTCCATGGACGAAAGGTAACAGATTTTAAGAGTGATGCATGACAAAAGTCTTGCGGAAGGATTTTATTTCTTTGTTAAACGGTAAGCAAATAGTGCTTCGACAATGGTGATTTAGTTTCTTTGTTTCTTTCAGTACACAGGGAGGTAATCGAGGCCCCAGTAAAGTAATCGACGTTACCGTCCCTGTGCAATGTCAAGTGAAGGACTCGCGGCTATTTCTCACAGAGTCATCAAAGGTACGATACCTCGAATTGGTATTTTTGTTATTTCGCCTGGCCGTTAAGGCAGGAGAGTGTCAACTCTTTAATACTCAGGTGCGACAAGTTGTAACTTCTTACAATATCAATAGTGGATCAAGTACCTTATTGTAACTTATTTCGCGATTGTAAAAAAATTGCGAAATTTAAGACCGGCGTTAAAAAAAATTTGGCGAAAATTGACCACGCGTAAATGATTCCACTTGACCAACATCGAAGAAAAGCACTGCGATGCCAAGAGATGGAGAAAGCAGGAGTTGTTAAGGTGGTAAAGAGTGAGTCAGCTCTTCCTTCCGAGGATCCATTTAAAGAATTCACAATGTGCTGTAGCTGTAAGCGCAAATAGACAGAGTCATTGCTGTTGTATAGCTTTGCTTTGTTGCAAAAAAACATGTCAATTGTTCTTATCTTCGTTTTGTTATTATAATATGATAATTTTGGTTATATCAACTGAGTTCACAATTTAAATTGGCCACCGTAAAGAGTTTGAAAGCTGACGTTTCGAGCGTTAGCCCTTCGTCAGAGAACAGACCTAACGCTCGAAACGTCATCTTTCAAACTCTTCACGGTGGCCAATCCACATAATCAACTCTGTTGGTAAAACCAAAATTATCTTGTTATACTACCTCACCGACGCAGCATCACTGTTTCTCTTGAAACTTCCCCCCTTAATTTATTGATTATAGTATGGTTTTGTTTGGTGTCACTGGAAAGTGTTGTTATGGAAAATCTAAGATTGTTTATACCAGTTCTGACACTAAGAGAGGATTTAGTTATCCTCTCTTGGTGAGGCAAACTGTTTGGTAATCCAGATCACTATTTTAAAAAATTTCGCGAAAAAATAGCTCCTTTTAATATATCTTTTATCCATATTGCGAAATTAAAGTCTTGCGAAATATGCCCCTTCCATTTTCGTGAAATTAAGTTCCGCAAAAATGAGAAACATTAACCCTTTATAGCCTAACATCAGTATACATATTCTCCATACTGTTCTCTATACATTTCCTAATGTGCCGGCAAGGAGAATTTTTTAAACAATCAAGAGGTTCTTCAGTTGATGATCATTTCCTTTATTCTCATGACCTTACTGTTTGTTCCATGGGTGATATTGAAAGGAGAAATTTGATGCTGGTCACTCTCAGGGATTTAAGGGTTAATGTGGTTGGTGAGACTACACAAGTGTATTAGGTAGGGGCTTGTTATCTTGATATCTCAGCAAATTCTCTCAGCTAACTCTGAGGGAAAATGTGTAACAGCTAAAGGGGAAAGTAGGGGATATTTATCGTGGGAGGTAAAATTTTAAGGCCACCTCAAGATCTCCGTATTTACCAATTCCTTGAAGAAATCATCCTCATGGTCTTCTGTGCAGCTTTTTTTTTGGTCTTGCCGCGCAACGGAGAGAGAACTCTGCGTGACAACACCAAATTAGGCTTAGCAGCTCCAGTTGCTCTGAATTTAACAGAGAAGAAAGTGAATTTCAAAGTTCGGTTTCTCGGCACCTAATAGAATACTTTGCTCTCT